TGACTTATTATTATTATTTTCATATTTTCCATTGAATACTTCCAAGACCACCTTTTTTTTTTCAATATTGTCACTAGCTTCACTTTCGCCAAAAGCTGTACATATTCTATAGCCAGCTTCTGATGTTTTTGTTCCAATTTTAAAATTCTATTATAGACAAGTTCTCAGGATCAAATTTTTGGTTGCCATGTTATAGGGTTGATAAGGAGGTAGAGGTACTCTATATCCTTATTAACCTTACTTCTAAAATAACTGCTTATCTTACCAATATGTGATGGTTAGCAGTTTAGTCTTGCAAGCTATGTATAATTAGTTTCCTATCTCACTGGGCGCTTAACAAATCTGCCAAAAATGGTTTAGTTAAACAAATATCATTTCTTTGTTTTTGTCTTGTTTCTGATTATAGGAAACTATTATGGGGTGTTAGATGAAAGTGTAGTTTCACTTCTGTCTTATACTGAATGGTCTCGGTGATAATTTCTCCACACCCTTAAAAACCTACTTGTTACTGAAACTGCAAAAGCATCAGTGTGGTTGTGGCCTAATGCTTTTACAGGAATGAACAGATCAGTTCATATGGATTCTTAATTACAATAAAGTTGAAAATACTCTGGTTTCACAAGCCATGGATATTTTATATCACTACTGTGCAGCATATTTGATAGCATATTAAAAAAACTGTTGGATGGTATATTGAATGTTAATGGATCCATGTTTTGATTTGGCCCAGTTCAAAACAAGTTTTGTTTACATTTATTACAAATTTTGGGAAAAATGGGTCTTATATGGCATAATATTCCTTTGAATTTTGTTTGATAGCAAATGATGAATATTGCTAAAAGACCTTATGAACTGTTACTATTTGAAGGTATTTTTCTTTTTTTAATTGTTTAAAAAAATGAAACATCAATAATGGTAAACTGTTTTGACTGATAAAAGTGTTGATATTAAAATGCTATATCCCTTCAGTATATAGCCAATCTTAGCTCATTCATTACTTCCTTTTCTTAACTTTAAATTGTCATGATCATTCTTTGTAAAGACAGTGGAGTGGTTTCCTTTTGCCTTCATCACAGTGTTGAATTCAAAGTTGTACTCTTACTTAGAATTACCCACTCTACTCTACTATTTTACCCATAGCTGAAGAAGAGAAGAAATGGATTCATGCATTTCCAAAGTGCATTTTTGCAAAATTGTAGTTTATGATTCACCCCAGGAATACTTAAGATCTGAATTGGATTTAAGGATCATCAGGAACCTTGATCTAAGAATTGATCTATGGTGATCCTAATATCTACTGGGTTCACTCTAAGAAATATGAACCTTAGTTTTGAACTTTATGTCATCTCAGAAACTCAGAAGACCTAGGAACTCCAAGAATTGACCTAGAAGGTGGTCTCAAAGCCAACAAGTGCAGAATTGAGAATGTTGGTAGGTGCACTAACATAACCTAGAAGTGAACCCAGCTGAACTTAGGATATACACACAGATAACTGGATAACAGGAAGTTATGCCTAACTTATGAGGGGAGAAAGAAAATCCTTCACACAGAAGAAAGGCCTCAAACAATATACCCTCCATTCATCTGACATTAATTTGAGTCCAGAAGTGAATAAACAGTTATTTTATGCATGGAAATATATTTTTGTACTCTTATCAGACATTACTATCATTCATAAAATGAACGGAACTTCTTTAACTGAAATTTGAACTCAACCTGACAATTGCATTTTATGTTCTAATAATTGTCACATCACCTACTCATCTATAGAAATGTTACCATGGTAGAATTGGAATGTCTTAACAGAGATCCCATTCTAAAAAGTTCCTTGAAAGCAGTGACAGAAAACAAATGAAAAGGTAACAAAGAAATTAGGGTTGCGTTTATCAGTTGGTTCAGTTGTTAAAATCGTGTACAATTTCATATGCCAGCAATTCTAAAAGTCTGCATCACAGCTTTCTACAACTTTGTGAAATTTTTATAATTCCAGGCAATTATAATTCACTCTGAGCCTCTAGTGCTGAACTTTACTGTTTCAACACCAGATAGCTCTTAGTGGAAAAACATTCTGGATTGTTCTAAAATTCTATTGAAAAGTCTACAAATACTTTTTAAATCTTTGAAGATTGTATCTACTGAATGGTGATGCAGTCAAGCTATTAAGTTAAAGTAAGTATTTAAATTAAAATAAGTTTACTAAATACAAGTTAATTTTGTATTTCATTTTTGAGATGAGGAATTGTCAATATATTTAATTAATAAATTAAGGTATATTGACAATTCTACATCTAAAAAAATTAATATAAAATTATCAAAAGCAGTATGAACCTGCAAATGTTGAAAGCACCAGAAATTTTATATAAAGTTTCCAAAAATACACCACTGATGTCTCTTGGGATAGTGCTATAAATGATATGAGAGCTGCTTAAATGTGTGTTTGTTATCAAGTGGTGAATTTAATCCCTGAATCATGTAGTCAAATAATATACACTGATTCAGCAAGAATGAATAAGAACTGGCATTATAGGGATAAAATAACAACAATCAGCAGATATCCATATCATCTAAAAACAATGGACACCTGAAGATGGCTAGGCAATACCTGACTGAAACATTGTGTCTCTAATAACATCTATACTCTAGATGAGAAAAATAGTTTGAATAAATTAAAGTATACTGACAAGTAATTTAATATAAATTAAAATAGTTTATTTATTTTTAGGATGTAATCTTTGTCTTTGTACAAATACAGAAATTTGTTAATTAATATATCAACAAGCATTGTTAAAGTGAAGATATGATACAAACAAGAGGCAGAGATGGGAAAAAGTGAAAATATTAGAAATATGAGATAGTTATTTGAACTTTGGAATGTAAATGTAATCTTCAATATTTTTTTACTTAGAGAACTGTGAAATAATTTTTTTTTTAATGACTACATCAATGGTTTCAGTAATGCTCTGCCAGGCTTCCAATACCCATGTATATATAACAGAAATCTCTGTTCAACCAATGTGGTTTATTGGAATTAGTGATTTGTACATTGGTTCTAAATGCTGTATAAATTTTGTGTTTCAGACAATGAAAATTATATGTTCTTATTTTTAGTTGGTACTTTCTAATTAATGGTTATGGCGCCCCACAAATTCATTTTCATTATTATCTGTGAATTGCTATGGCTTCTTGGGAAAGAAAAGAGTAATTTTCCATTGCCTTCTTCATAATTTTGAATTCAGTTAGTCCTTCTCTTACACAGGCTGCCACCCAAGACTAGAGAACTGAGTCTGCACTGTTATTTAGCCCTATAGTTAGGGGAAGAGATGGAGTCATGCCTTAGGAAACAGGTATTACTGTGAAAGTGAATGCAATAGACTAAGTTAGAACTTGAACTTAACTTTCTGAGTCCACTTCCCTTACTGATAAATGTCAGACTACCACAGATTTTAGTTGATAGGAACCAAATAAAAACATTAACAGATTTTAAGTTTAGGTTGATTTTCATAATTTGTAGTAACTAAACTTTAGTTCAAATTATATATGAAAGATGTTTTTTTCCCTAGAATTTCATAGCCCAAATTTAGGGTTGCATATTATACATTAGTGTGCAGTATATGCAAATGATAATGGTATTTAAATTAAGTAATTTATTAAGGTATAGTTCTTGTTTTTGTAGAAATGGAAAAGTTGTTTGTTAAACATTAAAAAACATAAAAGTGAGGTTACAATACAAATGAGAATAAGATGGGAAGAAACAGAAATATAACAATAATTATTTGGATTTTGGAATATAAATGTAATTGTTTTGTGTTTTCTGACTGAGGGCAACATGGGAAAATCTTAATACACTAAAGGCACCATAATCTATAAAAGTATAGAGTGTCCTCTTTTAGTCCCCTCAGTTTTTCCTATCAGTGAAAACAGAAAAGTAAATTTGGTCTCAATCTATAACATTGCTTTTGAACTGAGCTGTATCATTTGTCTAAACTCATTACTGCTATTAATTTTTAGAATAATAAAAATATCTAGGTTGGTGAACATTAATTTCACTGTTTGTAAATAAACAGGGATATCTACTCTACTCAAAAAAGTGTACACAAACACAAACACACACACACACACACACACACATAGCAAATTCTGTTAGTAGGGAAACAGTGTGGCAGATGAAAAAAAATCATTATTTTCATTTTTTTTTTTTTTGCTGGCTGCATTTAATCCTATATATATATAAACATAGTTTTAGATTTTCTTATGAATGCCCACTGATTTTACTATTGCTTTCCTTAGATTTAATCATTTTCTGCACTAATAAAGTAGATATTATGCAATTAAAAAGCTCAATTTGCAGTTTTTCACCTAAAATCTACTCACAATATCCATATATTGTGCACAGAAAAATCAGAAAGAAGGGGACTGTCAGTGGTCAGGAATTAAGGCAAGCATTAATGAAAGATTAGGGCTATTATATGTGTGCAATGTGAGCGCATTGTCAATATTTTTCCTTTAAAAATGCATTGAAAATCTAGATAAAGTAATTGTCGGTGATTAGGAATGAATGCACACATTACTGAGAGAATAGACTGATTATATTTATAATGTAAATACATTGCTAATGATTTTCCTATAAAAATGCATTGAAAATCAGGGAGAAAGTCATTTTTGAGTTCAAGAATTAAGGCAAACTTTAATGAGAGAATATGTTGATTATTTTTACAATGTAAATGTATTGTTTATGATTTTCCTATAAAAATGCCTTGAAAATCATGAAATAAAGGATTGCCAGTGATCAGAAATTAATGCAATAATTTAGAAAATAGTTCTAGACTATTATATTTATAATTTAAATGCATTGTTATTGATTTTCCTACAAAATGCCTAGAAAATCAGGAAGAACAGAATTGTCAGTAGTCGGGAATTAATGCAATCATTATAAAAAGAATAGGGCTATCATATATATAATTATGTTTATATAAAGAATAAAAGGATAATTTGAACTTACCTATTACTGTTATATTAAAGTCTTTTGAATATTTTCTTCCTCCCGCATCAATGGTACATGTGTAAACTCCTGTATGGTTCTGTCGTAATTGTCTTATCCGCAAAACAGACTTTGGATTGGCTTTGCCTTGATTCCTAAAATTATATTTTTATAGGTTTTAAGAAATATAATAGTAGTAAATATTTGCATCTATTAGAATTGCTTTAACTATTAACCTCATTCTTTTTGTTACCACAACATTTTGTCTGATCCATTCTTGGATTTTCTTCAAATTTATAATTTCTATAGAAGGAAGGGGTCTCTTCTACCCCCACCCCAAAAGAATATCTACTAATCTTATCATTGGAGGGAGAAGAGATCATACTATCACTTCTGGTATAAGTTCCAAGTTGTAGATGTGGAGCCGATCCATTCTACAGCCTTCTTAATGTGTACAATAAAAATGGGAAAAAAAGGGTCATCTTTTTTTTAGAAAAAATAATGGCAGATATGCTGATAAGTCAGATCAGTAAGGATTTCTGAGAGGTGTGGATATTTTTGAGCAGTATCACTGCATAAAAAATTAAAAATGGAATCATTTGAGTTAAAGTGGCTGATGAGAATGGAATCATCTGTGTGGCTTGCAATACTGGGAATGAGTTGATCTACTATTTCTTAAGAAGAGAGATCTTATCAGTCTTTTTTATGGATAGTACGCTAGAAGAAAGCTGTAGAATAGACTTGGTGAAATATGGTAACAAGAAATGCAAAAGAATGAGTTCAATAGTCTGCACACACAACTGAAAAAAATGTGAATTTTATGTAGGTAGTGAAAAAATTTAAATTTTATTTAGGTAATGGAAAAAGTATAATTTTATATGGGTAATGAAAAAAAATATAAATTTTATATGGGCAATAAAAACATAAGTTTTATATGGGTAATGAAAATATATACTTTTTATATAAATAATAATAAAAAAATTCAGTTTGCTCTTAAATTTTCTTGTAGAAGCATGACGTTTTAATCACTCTCACACAAATCATTTTTTTTTGTTTACAAGATAATAGGTGCTCAGCAAGTCAAAGACTACTTGATGGAAGATTTTGCAATAATTTCTGGCTAATAGCCAGAAATTATTATATCGGTTTTGATGAAAAAGAGTTAAGTTCACCAAACATTTTATTGTCCTTTGTTCTATGTCCTACTGGAAGAGGGCCATTTAAGATTATTATATAATATGTATATACATTACCCAAATAACTGTTGTCAACCAGGACTGACTATAACTCATTAGAAAACTTCTTAAACACTTTGCACTGATTGCTAGTTTTCAATATTGAAAGGATGTGTGATCAAAGCAACAACAATTAGGATATTAATTTAAATAATTTGTAAATCAATAAGAAAAGAGATCTTGAAAATTTCAATTATATACTAATACATATGCATTTACAGATGTTGTAATCTAGTATTAGATATTCACTTCCAGTGTTTATGATATTTATAATATATGATATAACCAATTTTTATGACGTACTAACATACGTACAGAAGCCATGAAGTATACATGTGATGTCCACCCAACCAATAAAAACATAAAATCCACTCCAATTTTTTGAAGATGCCAAATAATTAAATATTTTTTCCTTATTTAATTGTTGTCAGATTTAATCCACATTTTTAAATAATATATATTTTGAAAAAAATGGAACTATTATTTTATAATCAGTTCTACTCCATCTTTTTGTTTAGGTTGATACATTTTTGAGCTGTTAGAGTAAACAAAACCAGAAGTAAATATAACACTTCAATTTACATCTCAGACTTTAGAAATCTGTTTTTCATGAACATTCTCTGAACCAATTTAACCACAGAAGTCTCAGTGATTAAGATTTGTAGTTTTTTTGCCCACCTTGATTCTCTTTGCCCTTTTTGTTGTAAGAGTTGAGTTACTTTGTATTTTGTGATAAAAAGCAGCAGTTGTAAGATAGAGTAAAACTAGTAATAATCTTCACTCAGTGTTGTGATAAAAAACAACAATAGAGTAAAGCTAGCAATAAATTTATAGTAATAATGAAGAGTATTAACCTAGAGTATTATAAAAAAAACACGAAAAGAAATCAATAAGATGGAGTAAAATTAGTAATAAAATAAGATTGAAATCCTTTATCTAAAAAATTCATAAGGAATCTTTTGCTGTGTCAATGATGTAGGAATATCAGTGAGAATAGGCAACTTTGAAATTAAATTAAAACACTTAAAAACACTTTCACATTTGCTTAATACAAACTAAGAGTATCTATCCCAAAGGTCCTAGGAAAAATCACTATCTTAAGCTACATCTTGATCTCCTTGGACTGTTACCCTATGAATTATTCTCATCATATTTGTTGTTATCAGCTGAACATTTTGACCAGTTTGTTCTCTGACCTTCTTTAAGCATATAAAAGATCTGAGTAATTCATAATTCTAAATGTAGATTTTTAAGGTAAAATGATATCTCTCATCTTATTGTTGAGAATAAATTTGATCTTTTGCATTACTTTAGAAGTGAATGAACATACTATGAAAAGTTTATTCCTTGCATACATTTGAGATCTCAAGATTGCTGTTAGTGTATCTGTAGACCATAAAGTTTAATCTTTAAAATACTAATGAAAATTATACAATTTTACAAGAATTTAGGACAGACATTTCCAAATTTTTCTCATTTAAGGTGCACTTCAGAAGCTGAATAAACTGATATTTTCTTGCATTTTGCATGTAAATTCAAAATTGTATTTACAAAAATGTATTTGTAAATTTTAGCTTATAGAAACTAATTTAAACTGCAAAACATTATTTCACTATTGCTTTTGGGAAAAGCATGAAACTATTTTTCCTCCCCACCAGTTATGGATCAAATAGCAGAGTAGATTGGGCTATCTAGCCTTGGATGATAGCCAGTTTAAAAGAAGGTGTTCTCTGAATACAATACCATAGAGAAGGCAATGGGAGACCACTTTGCCATCTTTCTTATTGTTATTGTAATTCACAGATAATAAAGAAAAGGAATCTGTAGAGAACCATGATCATCTGCTTTCTAAAAAGAATAAAAAATAAATGAACAACCCAATATGTGAGTTTTGCATTGGGGATACAAAAAATGAGACCAATATGGATTCAGCTATCCAGGATAGTGTAATAACTGATGAATAAAAGTATGACACAGAAATTCAAAAGTGTATAAGAATAGCTAAAGAGCTATTTCCAAAAACAAAGCAAGGTACAAAGGGATCAAAAAATAACATCTGAAATGAAGAAAAGCATTGTTCTCCAATATAAAAGTGAAAACTAGATAATTTTGTCACAAACAAAAAATAAACTTGAAGCAAGTGATGCATTGAGAATGCAAAAAATGTGAAAAATGAAGAATAAGAGAACTGCTCAGAACAATCAGAAAGATAGTTGAAATTATTGGGATAAATAATAATGAAAGAAAGCCAGGAGAATTTAAACCTCACAGGGAACACTGAAAACAAAAAAAGCAGAGGAAGACAGCAAGTAACATGCATATCAAAGAGGAAGAGTGGTCATAAAGGATAAAGTATTAATGATAGCAACAAAAATAAAGGCAGTTGTTGTGAGCCACAATATCCCATATCTTGAAGGACACAGAGAGAAAGAAAATGCTTTTGATTTTCATACAAAGGGGTGCTGAAAATTTCTCAGCCTGATCATGAAATTATTAAAAAAAATTCTGAACTTTTTGGCATCTATTGTACTATTAGTAGGATTCACAACTCTCAACACCTCCTGACAATATAGACATAACATGCTAAAAATTGAAAACAGTGAATATATATATATATATATATATATATATATATATATACACATATAAAGAGAGAGAATTATAAAAGTGATTTTTATTAATTTATTTTTTTCCTTTTGTATACTTTTTTTGTGGTGCACATAGTTACATCTCTTGTGACAGAATATAGTTTAGGAATGTCTGATCAAGTGAAGAGAAAGAAAAGATTTATGAAGAAAAACTTTATTTTTAATACAGAATAGAAAAAAAAGAGTAAAAAAAAAATTACTCACTTTTTCTTAAAAGACATTTCGGACGACTTTCGTATAACTTTCCCATTCCTCAGCCATCGGAATTTGGCATTACGATGTGATGATGTGCAGGTTAATTTCAATTTTTTTCCTTCAGCAACTTTTCTATTTTTTTTTTTAAGTTCTCTGGTGAAAGCTATATAGAAAAACAAAAGAAAAACAAAGCAAGTTTTAATAAGTTGTACAAAGTTAATCCCATGAAAATTTCTAAGAATTAAATTCTTGACACTAAAATAATCAACCATATTTCAGCTGGCATGAGTAAATAAAATAAAACTGCGAACAAATAGCTGTCAAAAGCTAACAAAATATGTACAAAAACAGAAACAAACACCCCCCCCATCCCAAACAAAATGAGAAAATATTATCAAAAACTAAAATCCTACAAAATAAAATAAGTAACAAATAAATAACATATGAATAACAAATAGATATAAATAAAAAAAAAAGTAATAAATAAATTTTCAAATTCCAAATTAACTAACAAACTTTAAAATTTAGAAACACTATCTACAAATTTTCTTTAATTAAATAGAAATAAGAGCCAAGAATATATTCCAGGACTGATATTCTGAAATAAAATACTTTATCAAATTGTTTATTTCATAATTTTAACTAATTTAAGTGTACTTAAATAAAATGATTAATTTCAGTTTGAAGCACAAAATCTTATGCCTAAGTCGTTTTTCTTTCTCAGTTCATATTTGTCACATTTGATAGCAGAATGGTTGTTTTTTGACATGACTGGATTTATACACTCTTTATTAGTAGTATATTTTATTAGGGTTTACTAATTCAGTGTCTACCACTTTGTTGATGGCAAGATGATTAAATTTAAAATCTAAACTGTTTGTCCATTTAAAATACATTTATTATAAAATATATTCAATTTAAATACAAAAGGAGTCATAAATTACTTTAAAAGGTTTATACTCTTTTCAAATACTCAGGAATTATTACCAGACAGAAAAAGAAATTAGTCCTCATGACACAGATATCCATTTCAGTTTCATTCAAGTTGTGCATGTGTACATTTGCATGTATGCGTGTACATTTTAATTCAATGACAGACTTTAAAATAATTAGATTTAAAAAAAATAATTCTATTTATTACTGAATAATTTGGGAAAAATTCAATAAAAACTTGCAATTATCTTATTTTTTGTTTTTTTATAATTTTTCCATAATTTTTCTTCTAATTGAGTTTGAAGAATACACCATTAATTTAAGTAATTGAAACTAATTTATTTCAAGATATTTTATGAAGCTATGATTTTCTGCTATTAAGCAAAAATTATTGTGTGTCATATCTGTGATTTGTTTATTTACTATAAAGGAAAGAACCTGAGTTAATATCCTCTACATGGTTATTCCATCATTTTTTTCAATGGTTGTGTGAGTGTGCTTATGATGCAGATGCTGAAAGCTCTGGAGTACAGTCCACTTGCCAAAATCTGAACAAATGACCAAGTATCAGAAGTTTGGGAGAATCCTTTCTTAGTTGTGCTGAACAACCTCTTGTATAATTTGTTAATATTTATACTCATTTTCAGAATATTAAAATAAACTTCTAAGTATATTGTTAATAAATATGAAAGCATTAATAAAAATCATATAAAGCACATATAAATTTAATGTAACATGTTTTTATCCAAAAGACACACACACGTGTGTGTGTGTGTGTGTGTAATTGTTTAAAATATGCTCTTTTTATGGGGTGAGGGTATTCATTTGTAGATATAAGTAGTATGGACATAGAAATCAACTCCGCATAATGATTGCTAGTTTCATGTTTCTACCTCAAATATTGAGCACTCTTCCCTCATAAATATGGCAAATTTTAAACCGACACACATGCACACATGAGTAAGAGAGAGACATTATTCAACTTTGCCAGATCTTACCAGGTTAAAAATCCATCTCATAGGCTGTTTCATGTACTGTTTTTTGTTACTATGAGCTAGTAAAATTTTAATCTTGTACAGTTTAAAGAAAAACTGCAAGGCATAGACAGAGGAAGTGTGTTTAGAGTGGAAAAGGCTATTGGTTCACTGAAGGTGAATGTTCAGTATAAAAAGACTAACAATGTAGACTCAGATGATGACTAAGATTCTTTCTTGGAAAATAATGCAGGAAAAAAGCTTATAAAAGAGTCAGGTAGAAGTTGTTTAGTCTGATGCCATGGTCAGATTAGTTCTCACAGACTGCACAACTGAACTCCTTATTGTTAGCAAATAGTCTGAACTAGCTTGCTAAACATTCATCAATGATAAGTTGTTTGGCATTTCATAGATTTAATTTAGTTGGTATGTGGGTGGTATTGAAAATGAAATCAGAAAGCTGAGTTCAAATTCTGCCAGAGTTAATTATGTTTATTTCATACTAATTTTCTTGGGAAAAGTCTGAATTCATCTCTTCTCTCTTCCAATTCTTGGTAAAATAGTAGAGCAGACTAGACTAGCTTTGATAGGGCAGCCAGTCTAGAACAAGTAAATTCAAATGTGTGGTGCATGGCATTAGCAACTCCACTTTGTAAAAGTGACTGGTAACTGAACTGTAGTAGCATTACCTACTCTAATGTTGTAACCATTGGAGAGAGTCTATAGGATACAGTTTAAACTTTTGAATCTGAAATAACAACACTTCCGTGGATATAATTGAGAAATTCTACAGAAAGTTTTAAATAGAGTTGGATGAATTGTAGGTGAAAACAATATAATTAAGTTATGAAATGGAGTTAGATAGATAGTTTTAGTTCAGTTTTGTACAAGGCTAAATTAAGTTAAGATTGCATTGTACTAATGGAAAAGGCATGCTTGCCTTTAAAATCAGCTTACCAAATTCTGGGCTTGAACACTAAGCACTAGTGCCAATGAGGGGTATCTCATCAAGCACAAGGCAGGTACAAGGCCACATTGGAGTGGGAAGACTGGAAATAATTTTGCCAGTGAATAAAGCTTCATTGCCTTTAAAATCAGTTTACTAAATTTTGGCTTTTGCTTGGGGTTGAACATGCATCACTAGCACCAATGAGAGGTAGGCAACTACCTCTTCAAGCACAAGGTGACATTGGGGTGGGAAGATTGTGCCGTGCTAATCTTCTAGTGAAGAAGGCCTGCCTTTAAAACCAGCTTTCTATCTTCTGATATTGGCTTAGGTTTGAACACAAATTGCTAGCATCAGTAGAAGATAACATACTTAATGCAGTCACCAAAAAGGCCCAATAAACATTTACAAAGCTTGTCTAAGTCTGATACAAAACCAGAAATGTAGAGCAGTCAGTAAGGATCATGCTCACTACAGTAGTAAAGACCTGTGTAACTTGATTATTAACTATTACTCTTTGGTGAGGCACTTATATACAGGGTGCCCCACAAAAAAAACAGAAAATTTGGTACAGTTTATTTAATTGTTGAAATTTTTGTTACAGTTATTTGAAACAAAATGAAAGGATAGAAATTTAGTAGCTTAAAACAGAACTATAGTCTAGTTTATTCTGGCACAAGGCCACAAGTATTTGATAACCAGAGAAGGCAAGGAAATATAGATGTTCTAAAATATTTGCTAGCTAAATACTGCTTTATGATAAGATGCTTAAAAATAAATTTACAAAATGCTTTAAAGGTGAAAATGTGTAAATTTACTATAAATGACATAAAATTAGTTTATAAATCTATCGAAACTCGCATCAAAAGAGTATCATAGAAACTTACTACATTTATTAATGTATGATGCAATCCCCACTTTTATGTGCAAAGTGTGTGATGCAAAAGCCTTGTAAATTTACTACAGATGTTATAAACAAAAACATTTACAAATGAAAATTTAGAAGGTAATTTAAAAGGATAAAATGTAACCATTTATTTTCATATGTAAACTGCATAAATATATTTATTTCTGCATATAGATCATTTTCTATAATGCATGTAAAATCTAACATTATTAGTTTGCATAATATATTTTAACAAAGATGATTTTTGAATTCAGTATATAAACTCTAGATTTCTATAACTTCATTTACTTAAGAGAAAGCTAGGCTGAGGGTTTCTGTCATGAAGAAACCTATCAAATGTTTACTATAATGATTCAACTTGGAATCTTATACACAAGTAGGCTAGTATTAAGATAAGCCTTTTCAGAATGGCAGCACTTTTACTATACCAAATACCAAACTGTCAAAATATTACATACTTTCCATTATATCAGAGGAAGTGTTGTATTTTTTGTTAAACTTTTTTTTTTTTATGTGTATTATTTTGTTTGATAAAGTTTCCAGTTTATGTTTAAGACAACATTTGAGGAGAAGCCAATCAAGTCCAGAAAGTTTATCCTTTAGTTTGTTCTCAAGCTTCTTAAGCTCCTGTGTTGTTTTTCTTTTCATGGTTTATTTTTTCCTTAACTGCAGCTCTTAGTAATTCCTTTTGCATGCTTTTGATGTTAGTGCTTCCATACAGAATGTGAACTTTGACTCCACTGGCTTTTTTTATTCTAATACAAAATTTATGCATTGCCATGGAATAAAATTGCTGATTCTACATGCAAAATCATAGAAAAAAAAGCTATAAAGACGCACACAGTTCACTCAGCAGACTGACTCATTAAGTTGAAGGCATATGCTACCTAGTGGCACATCTAATAACTAAGCCCTGCTATTATGCTATTGCTGAATTCTGGGAATTTGGGGATCCTCTCACTTGTGTGTTGGTAATATAGCTGAGTGATAAGCCATCTATTATGACATTCCAGTCACCTGTAGCTGTGGTGTCATATAATTTCCCAATGTTTCAAGCATTAAGCTTTCCAAAACTATTTGTTTTGTAATTCTATCTTTTGCCCTGATGTGGCATTTATTCTTTATATTAATTTTCTTCATTTCTATTAACATTCTTAAGTTGATGTAAATAAATATCACAATATTAGAGTGTATGAAAAGTATTTTCGTTTTTATAGGCCTTTACTCCAAAGCTAATTTTGACTTTGCTATATTATTATTAGAGTTTATCAACAGTATTTAATTTTTTTTTTTTTTTACAGACATTTACTCCAAAGTTTATTCAAGTTACACATCTAAAAAATAATGATGCCAATATTTTATTAATATTATACATATATCAGTACTCTGATACAAGTACTACT